CTTTCAAGTTCTTTGATCATGGTTTAGTGAGTACTATTGGTGATAGGTGGATGGTTGGACTGGATGATCTTGAAGGTCTTTTCCAACTTGGTAATTCTTTGATTCTGTGATTTTGACTTGCAATTACTTACAAAATGAGAAACCACTTTTAAGAATCTCCACTGTAAGATTTTCTCTTATTTCTTCCTTAACTCTTAAGAAACATTTTGCTATGAATTTCACCATCTGCAATTTTTAATTTATATGTTTTATTTTAGCCTTCAATTTCTTTATTAGGTGGTAAATCAGATCGTAAATGCGTTTAGTGTTATCAGAGCAGAAGATCAATGTGCATGTAAGAAATTTTGTAGCTCTTAAATCAAACATGGATTTACACAAATGCAAATGCAGCCATTTTGTTCCTATGCACAAAGTTTACCTGAGATGCATAAACACACAGAGACTATAAAAACGAAGAGACAGCTGTTATAAAGACATGTAGGATATTCTATATGTTTACAGAACTTGGACCTGTAAATCTTAGAATTAGTATAAGAGAAAATTTGCAAGAAAAGAAATTTAAGCATTTTCCAAGTGAGTGTTTTGGCTGCCAGGTTAGATAATCTTTTGACTAAATCCATCTAAAGCCTGATCCTAATGTGGTTATTCAGCACAGGCAATACTTCCATTGCTTGCTCCACTTGAGGGCAACATGGAATAAGACTTTGAAGCCCACTAGGATAAAAGGTTGAACATTCTAACTAGTGGGTGATAACATAGGAAAGGAGATGGCAGTAAGACTTTGAAGTTGTTGTTTAAATATTAATAATCAGGGGCTTTGTAGTGGAAGAGTACAGATAATTAATTGGATACTAAGCTGCTCAGTGCTGTCACCAGAGAGGCATCCATGAGTGTGCCAGGAGGCAGAGCAGAGGCACCTGGAGAACTACTGCTGCCAGGAACAGAGGCGCTGCAGAGCTGTGTGTCTTTGGGCTGGCAGCTGCCTTGGTTTCAAATCGTGACCCTCTTTGGGTCATTATATTCTCTTTTAGGTACAGCTTTCTATTCTTAGAAGAGTTCAGTCCGTGATGGACAAGACTGCATCTAAAGTGATATGGGGCTGTGCAAACAAAGCATAAGTGGAACTCCACAGAAGCAGTAAAGAGCTGTCTTATGTGACCTGCCAAACCATGTCCTATTCCTGTGCTTGGTCAAGAGACAGGTATAGCACCCTCTTCAGCTGCATACTTGAGATGAGATCCCTTCCCACTTGACAGGACCCAAAAGCAACTGTGGTGCTTGGATCTCCCCTGGATGAGCAGAGGAGAGGAGCCTCATTGCAGAGGATGTGCTACAAAATCCTATGACAACCAACCATACCCAGACATGATGTTTATAGGCATGTTCTGCTACAATGACGGTCATTTATATAAAGCTAGATGAACAAACTGTAGAAATTGGCATATAAAATGGATAGAAAGAGAAGTAGATCTGATATATATGATAAATAATCATCTAGCTTTTTTTTGCTAGCCACAGAGTCTGTGAAATATTTCTGGTTGCTGTTATCATCACCTTAAATGTGCATAAAAGGTATTGTTTCAGATGGAAGTAAACCTCTGAGAGGCCAGCTATAACATCAAATGACTGACTAATATCTAGGGACTCCTTTCCCTGTTTGCTGATGATTATGTGTTTGCTATGCAGTGGGAGACCCTACACACGGCATCTCAACAGTTTTTTAGCTATTTAGGTTATATCTTTAAATTCTGGAGCCTATGGCTTTTCTTTTCTTGTGTCTGCTAAGTGAAAAAAAGAACAGTAGTTCCATGGAAGATACAGAGTTCTGACAAGGAGTTCACTTTGTCAGTGTATCACTTCTGTGAGGGAAAAAAAGAAATTTGTAAAGTAATGGAGAACATTTAATAGGCCACACACCAGCTCTGTGCTCTGTGTTTTCCAGTCTCTGTGCCACACACAGGTTTCTCTTTGGAAAACCAGAGGAAAGAAGGTTTTCTTCTAAGACTTAAATATGAGTTTGTTTGACACACAAGTCAGGAACAGATGAAGCCTTAGATATATACTAACTGTAAATTGCCCAAGAGCAGACACAGATTTCAAGGGGCAGATTCCTCTGGGAACCTTCTCTTTTCACTTCTTTCAGGTTTCGAACTCTCTTATCTAGTTCAAATGCCAGAATTGCACAGACAAGGAATTGACATTGGCACACTTTTCCTGCAGATGGGTTTATGGACAGTTTGAAGATTATTTTTTTTCTTTATCATCCATGCATTGCAGCAAGATTCTGCTCTGGAAAGGCCATATCTGGAGTACAGTGTCCCGTTCTGGGTTTATCAGTTCAATAAAGAAAGGGAAATGATGGAGATAGTCTGGCAAAGAGTCTGGGCAAGAAAGATGATGAGGAGCCTGGAGCATCTCCCTTGTGAGGAAAGACTGTGGGATCCAAGCCTATTCAGCTTGGAGAAGAGAAGACTGAGAGGGGATCTTATGAATGCTCATAAATATCTAAAGGGTGTGAGTCAAGTGGATGAAACCAGACTCTTTTCTATGGTGCCCAGTGACAGAATAAGGGGTAAATGACACAAACTGGAACACAGGAAGTTCCATACAATCATGAAGAAAACTTCTTTGTTGTGAGATGACAATAGTTCTATGGAAAAAAAGATGTGCTGCCCAGAGAAGTGGTGGAGTTTCCTCCTCTGGAGATATTCAAGACCCACTCAGGCACTTTCCTGTGTGTCCTACTCTGCTTTAGAAGGGGTTTGAACTATGTGATCTCCAGCAGTCACTTCTAAATCCTACAATTCTGTGATTCTGTTATTCTGTAATGTTGATCATCACCGTTAATCAGAAATGCTAATGCAGAATTACAAGAGGCCCTTGGAGGCATGATCTGCATTCAAAGAGCACACTGCAGCATGAGCCTCAATGCCAAACACTTCTGAATGATAAAAACTACTCACTAAAGTAGCAAGATAAGGAGATGAGATGGCACCAAACACCAAAAAGAGAGAATTCCTAAAAAAAGCTAGGAAGCTTCAGGGAGGTAGCCAATGAAGAGGCAAACTTCAAGGCACGCAAGAAACACGACTCTTTGTGCCCTGCAAAATTCATAGACCTCTAACTGATAAAGGGCATGGATAACTTATAATGTGAATGCTCTGTCCCTGGAGGTGTTCAAAACCAAATTGGATGGGGCCCTGGGCAGTCTGGTCTATTACCAGATCTTCAGGTTGGTGGCCCTGCCATGGCAGAGGAGATGGAATTTGGTGATCCTTGGGGTCCTTTCCAACCCAAGCCATTCTGTGATTCTATGATTCTATGATTCTGTGATTCTATGATTCTACGATAAAAGCTGAACACTGAGTCAGGTTTTCTCTAAGAAATTTCTGCAGTTCTAAGGAACTTGTAGAACATCTTTTCATTGCTCTTGAATGTTTCTTGCTCCTACCCCAATTTTATTCCCAGTTGCTGCTCCCCACCCTGATTCTGATTACGTTCCCTTTGTTATGTTGATTCTGTTGCCCTTTTTTTCTTTGTAAAAGCCTAAGGCATGAATTCATAAAAGCAGAAATACATTGATGGATTACTATGAGAACTGGATACCCAAATGATCTTTTAGGTGCCTGAGAAAATATTTAATGCCACTGACATTTAAACCTTTAACGAAGGTAATATTTCTGAAAGAAATAGTGCATGGTCTTTTAAAACTACTTAAACTCCTAATGCCAGGTGTGAATACTGCCAGCAGCACTATTCTGTTGCTGCAGAATTCAGATATTAAAGTTTAGCTGGAAGCTCATTTATTGGAAGAAAATAAGCAAATATCAGACTAAAGCAACTTTCTCCTGCTACTGACATGCAGAATAGTCTGCCAGGACATGTTTATTAGCTTCCACTCCAGGGAGATGCATGCTGTGGCTCTACTCAGTTTAATGTCTTATCTTTGTAAACTATTATTAATGCATTTGAAACATAGAACATGGAGATTCTAGTCTTAATTAGGCAGCAGATGCACTGAAACTGTAAAGGGAAGTGAACTACAGGAAATGAGTATTCTCAACTGTTCAAAGACGTTTCCTCATTGTAAGGCGATTGCTCAGTGTAGCAGCAACAATATTATCATTGTGGGGCATTTCCATTCTTAGAGTGAGCAGATTTCAGATTTCTTTAAAAAAGGAACGAAACCAGAATGTCTGTGTGTATGTGTGTGTGTGTGGGGCGGGGGGTTGTTACAGAAAAACACTGTAAAATAAAGTCTGGAATCACACTGCAAACATGCCCCTTTTTTTTAAGTAAGACAGTATAACAGCTGAAGGCACAAAAAGAGAATCATGAAAGGTCAATGTGTAGCATTCCTGCAGGCACCTGTTTGCTCTGACACCTAAAGATGAATGCAGTTTTTACATCCTAAACATGCATGCTGCCTGGTTTGCAAACGTAGCCCACTTATTACCCAGTCAGACTTCCAAGAACCAAGGTTGTGTTTAATAACAAGCCTCAGAATTGATGATGCATCTATTTCTGAGCCAGAATTTCTTCCTTCAGAAAACAGACTTTGAACTGCAGCTCTCTCAAGAGGCAGAGTTATAAAAACTGCATCTGGAATTGCAAAATGAATGGGATGACGAGTGGATGAAAAAGTAGGAAGTTTCATTCTCAGACCTGCAAGCCTTTAATCAATGTCAAATGCTAATCTGGATGCTTTGTGAGAGAGGATGTACAGAAAGGAAACAGTCTAAATGAAACTATTCCAGGCCAAAAAGACAACGACAAAAACAAAGAAACAAGTGGGGGGAAAAAAAAAAAAAGCAAAAAACAAAGCCATTAGGAATATGCCATACGTTGACTGTGGATGAGAACAGTTGAATTAACTTCTGCCTATTTGTATATCCTTACAAAGTTAATGAATTAACTTAACAAAACACTCATATTCCACATTTAGTCAGAAATATCTTATTTTTAATTACAATAGGACCTGCAGTCACATGCATAAATATTGGTGCAATAAAATACATTTCCATTGACTGCTGGCAATTGACATAAAATTGTGCTCCCTCATATATTTAAGACCTTCAGCCAGCTGAACATGCTGTTTCAAGAAGTAAAACAAAATTGCTCTTTAAACATGCCCCTTCACCCTCCATCCCCTTTTATATAGTCAAATTAAAATAGAAGGAAGAAAAATGAGAGGAGAGAGAGAGACAGAGAGAGAGAGAGAGAGAGAGGTAGTCTGAAGACAAAATATCACAAGGGAAGTACTGTCGGGAATAACTCTTCCCAAACAGAAAAGTTCAATGAAAAAGCATCATCTTAAAAATGGCGTATGAGAAGACTCGAAACATAAGTGTTCAAATGGCTCTTTTTTGAAAATCCAACCTGATCAAATAATTAATGATCATGATTTTCAGTCATAAAAGAGCACAATTTGCAGTTCACTCCTGTGTTCTTGTTCGAGGTATGTGTATGTGCTTTCCAAGTTATTTAGGATCACCTAAATGTATTTAGGACCATGAGATACTACTTGTCGCAACCTTTGAGGACAGAAAGTGGAAGACACCTCGTCACTGCTGGTGATGTGGTGGAGTTGTTATCTGAAGTCTTTAGCAGAGATGCTTAACCATTTTTCAAAAGTGTTTGGGTCTCATTCTTCATGACCAGCACATCAGCTGTGTATCCCATGGTCCTAGGTGCTGGGATACCCTGAGGTTTTATAGAGAATTGGAAAGATTGTGAATTTTAAGTCCAGTTTGCAGTATCTTTACCCACTTGGGTAAATATGGCTCTGAGGAACATGGTTAGTGGGCATGGTGGTGATGGGTTGGGAGTTGGACTAGATGATCTTATCGGCCTTTTCAAACCTTAAAGATTCTACAATTCTATCTTTTATTATTTATTGCAAAAGGGGAAAATGTTTCATTTTGAAATGGCTATGCAATTAAGACCCTAACAATTAGCAAAGAAAGCATAATATAGAATTTATCAATTAAAAAAACTTAAAAATCCAATCTGTTTGTGATTGACACAGTATAATTAAATATTACGTTTGTTCCTGAAAAGGTATCAGCATAGTGAGCTTATTAATTCCAAAGTAAACCTTTCATTCTGGCCTGCCTACAACCACCCTTTCTGCAAAGGCTCTGTTTAGTAGATGCCCAGGTGGCATTCACACATTTATTGCACTATAGAAGGAGACTTGACATGTTCTTATCACTTGAATACAAATAAATATGAATATTTGGAGTTATATAACTTCCTAAGGAAGCTTAATTCTTCATATTTTTCTTATTCTTGTAGTATAATATGTATGACTTTAGGTCTCACGTAACATCATATAATGTTTAGCCTAGAAATGGACCAAACTCTGACCTTCATCTATCAGAGGATATTTGGCCCAAAACTGTGATTACAGCAAAATCTGACAGAAATACAGGGAGTAGATAAGGAGACCAGAGATTAAAGCAGGTTTGTAAAATGCACTGAATCAAAATTAAGAGAAAAAAATAAGAAAAAAAATCAGAAACAAAAACTATATATCCTCTAAATGTTTTATTTATGTTTATTTTTTTTAAAATTGCCATTATCCCAGACTTTTTAGCTCTCATAAACATTAATGTTGCCTAAAAGCTATTAAAGATAAGTGATCAGAAGATAACTAAAGATGAGTACATAGTAATTTTGGGGGAAGAAACAGCAACTTCCTTTGCTTGAGGCATCTACATTTACAAGTAAAGCATGGGTTTTGGCTCGTGAAGCCTTTTAGAAGCTATCTATATGCCTAGGTGCTTGTGTTCCCCACAGTGCTAGCTGAAGGTATGAATTAAGTGTTAACCTTACTAAGGCATCCATACAGCTTGACTTAAATAATGCTTTAAATCTGAAATAACTGACCTGGCAGTAGTTCTTAATTACAGCCTAGCTGCTGAGATTATTAAACCAGTACCATGGCATCCGTGCAGCCAGTTTCCATTTGCAGCACATCTGCAGCTAATCAAATCATCCCGGGCACCCCATGCTGCTTTACAACCCCAACCAGGTTAACTGAGGTGGAATAATTGAAGCTAATTGTTGCAGTACAGACAAGCCATGGGTAGATTTAAACATTAGGGCATTACAGCACCATGTAATTATGCTAGAGGGCACTCATAATTCATTCTGAGCCATAACATATCTTGGCATTTGTGTAACATATCAAGGCACTGTGCCAACAGTAACTTCCAAGGAGTGCTGTGAGGTAGGTGTGTACATCAATCCCTGTTTTACAGATGAGGAAACTGAGGCAGGAAGGTGTTTGACCCAGATCGTAGCAGGAGCCTGTGTTAAAGGATGACACTGAAATCAAGATCTGAAAGTTATTCTCCTTGAAAAAAGCCAGTCCATACATATATATAGGGCTTTTTTAATCTATGTGTGTGCGTGCAGGTGAATCGTGGATGTGGCTTTTTATTTTTAAGATCAAAGCTTGCTTTCTCATTCTAAAATCCTAAGATAAAAATGTATCACTTTAAGGCTGTAAGCAGAGCATACAAAGGGCCAAATCTCCATCCTTAGCTCTCATCTGCAGTGCCTATATAGTAACAGAGCATTCAGTAACAGACTGAGCTGTAGTGACACTGGAACCCCATGGGTTTAACAACATAAGATCACTACGGAGATTTTTGTTTTGCTTTTCCTAGCCATCACTTATTTGCTAGCCTCTGGGAGCTTTACTCCTTTGTCTCTAAGAAGTATTGTGGAGTATTGCAGCGATGTCTGCAAACACCTGTATAACACTCTGCCTCCTCCATGGTGTTACACATCTCCAAGGACGGAAACTCATTTCAGAAGATAGGTCTTGCCAGTGACCTATCTTCACAGCTCAGGGGGGATAGCTCGGAGGGGAATAGGCTGAATGGGAACAAGAAAGTGGAAGTGATTTGTCTGTGGCAGGAGACAGACAAAGTCTGTCTTGCGGCACCTGCAACCAGTGTCAAGACTTTTTGTCCAGACACTTGTCTGCATGAGTCCACGCATATTTCATGAGATTCTGAAAGTCAGCTATTTCATTTCCAGCATGCAGCTCAACAAATGCTGCGAATTCTCCAAGAGTGTTTACCCTCCAGACCGTTCCATTTTGCTTCCAATGATCATTTTGATTTCTATGATCATGCACAGAACTTTGTTTTCTCTGAGAATGTTCTCAGAAAACATATATCCTACTGTTCAATAAAGATGTGTTCCTGCAAAGTTTATTCATTACATTGTCAAAAATTTTCCTATGAGAATCAACGTAATGGAGGGGATGCATTCAGGGACCTGTGGAATACACGGCATGGGGGATGGAGAGGTAGGAACAAAATCACTGAGTTTTTTCAGAGTAAATGCTGGATTTCTGGAACAGATAAACTTTCTAAAACTTGTCAGCTCCATCACCTGTGAGACTACCCCTGATTCACTGTTTTATCACCCTTTGTTTGTTGTAAGTCTTCAGGGAGACACAGCAAAAACTACTGCAGTTTCAGTCTCACAATCTGAGATCTAAAGAACTGAATGACATGAATGGTTGCTGCATGTTCAGCCTTGCCAACTCATCCAGGAGAATGAACTTGGGAATATTTCACATTGCATGTTCTTGTTGCCTCTCCCTGAACACCTATATCTTCATTATCATTATCTTCTCCCTCACGGAAAAAGAGATCATTCAAGTGTAATGGGAAGCAAAACAGTGCAATGATGATGGTTGTCTGGTAAGGGAATTGAGAGGATGTGCTGGATAAACAAGGAATAAATAAGTTATTGCTACAGGAACATCTCGAAAATGAGCTTTCAGAAACCACATTGCAGAGAAATAGGTTTTGATATCACTGGTGGTGACACCCAACCAGGAAAACACAGCCATCACCATGGGTCTTATTTGACTAATTACCAATGGCAGTTTTGAATAGTTGCTATCAATGAAAAGTTTGAAACAAATTTTAGCTGTTCGCAAATTATGGAAGAATGTAAGTAGATTTTTGAGATGACTGAAATCTGTTTATGGACAATCTGGGTAGGGTGAGTGCTCTGGATGAGGGATACACTGTGAATTATAGTTGTTCAGCTCTTGCTGAACTGAATAGTCTGGAAGTCTCTTAGGATTTAAAGCAAGCCGAACAGCTGACAATCTTGCCAGAATTCAAGTGTGGTTTTATAATATCTGTTTCAATAGGCTGAACTAGATCACTCTCAGTAGCAATTATGTGTTTCACCAAGCATCTGGAAGCTTCATTGATGTTTATATTTTCCTGCAAGTGAAAGAGAAAGAGGTTGATTAGTCAATATCAATTGCACTATCCTGCATATTTCCTGAATATAATTAAACTTTTCACAGAATCACAGAATTGTAGGGGTTGGAAGAGACCTCCAGAGATCATCGAGTCCAACCCCCTTTTCTCTGGGCAACATCAAAAGTTTACTTTCCTTAATAAACAGCTTTTAGAAATTGACTCTACTAAATTATGCTTACTGTAGTGTGTGGTTTTTTTTCTTTAAAATTAGTTAGGTTTTCATGTATTTTATCACACAGAGTCTTTTATGATTCTATGATTCCATGATATTTATAGACCTGGATCAGGTCCCCTCTCAGTCTTCTTTTCTCAAGGCTGAACAGACCCAGTTCACTCAGCCTTTCCTCATAGGAGAGATGGTCCAGGCCCTTCACCATCTTTGTGGCCCTCCGCTGGACTCTTTCCAAGAGATCCCTGTCTTTTTTGTACTGGAGAGCCCAGAACTATAAGATCACCCACCAACAATATATATATATATGTAAATCCATATACAAATATATGTGTGTGTTGATGCATACACACATACTTCTCTTGCTCCAAGAAAATGATATATTATTTACAGTTTAAGAATGACCCACATTTCCATGTTGTACCTGAGGCTTTCTGTACTGAGACCACAGCCACCCACAACACAATGCCATGAAGTCCACCTTCAAAAAATGCTCAGCATCAGTGCAGCAACAGTAACAAAATAGCCTGCATAATTTAATGTGAAACACTTTGTGCATGTGTTCAAAAAAGTCAGATGAGATGTCTAATAATGAAGTTTATCTATAAAAAATAAACTGAAGTGTATGTGTGTGTTTCAACAGGGATGGTGCAATTACATGAAAGATCATACAATCATAGAATGACCTGGGTTGAAAAGGAACACAATGATCATCTAGTTTCAAAACCCCTGCTATGTGCACAAGACCAGGCTGCCCAGATCCATATCCAGCCTGGAGATCAAAAATCAAAGCAATAGATTCTGTGAGGCTGATTTCTAATCCCCTTGTAATCTATTGTAAAGCTCCACAAACTCCGCTGTGAGCCTCAATTTTGCACCACAATAAAGACTTGAAGTCTGTGTATGTAACTGAAAATGCTAATTAGTGGCAACAATTCAAAGCATTCTTCAACTGAACAACTGAATTTAAACATCTGCATTTTGGCCTATAAAGAATATCCATTGGTTGTAAAAAAAAAAAATAAAATAAAATCTTTAGACAAGCCATTTGCACAGTAACGCCTGAAAAGTAAAAAAGAGCTGAGAATCAGGTCTGCACTGAGCTGTCAAAGGGCCACAGTATCACATGGTTCTCTGGGACCAGACAAGCAAATTCCTTAGGCAGGCACCAAAAGCCTTTTTCAAGACACCGTGAAATTTTCTTAGAAAAAAGCAGGTGATGAGAAATGTCTCAGAGCTGCTTAGTGAGCTAACGATAAAACAGGATTGCTAAATGTGAAAAAAGCCATGAGTCCTTCCCATCATGTTTTCTGTTATTGACTGACTGGTAAGCACTTCATTTAGCTATGTGCTGCTTCTCTTCTGGGATGGCAGCACATAATTTTTCAAGAATGCTTTAGTGACACTCTGTGATTGTGCCCAAATCCATTGATGTTGACATGTATTAACAGCAATCCACTTTGTCAGAGACATAAGATCAACATTTTATCCGAGTGGGAAAGAGGAACTGACCCTAAGCCCACAGAGACATAACATGGGTGTAGGTGACCATCTCTTATCCTCACTGATGCTAGACGAAATTCAGGTGCTTGAAACTAGAAATTCAGAAAGAAAGGCAATGCTGTTCTACCTCAACTAGAACTCAAACCAAATCAAAATCAGATTATTAAACCTTCTTTTTGCTTTTCTGGAAGAAAGCCAAAACTGAACATGTGAATATTGTTTTGACATAAAAATTCAAAATATTTAGTTTGGGAAAAACTGAAATGTTTTTTCTGCATTGCTCTTTCTCCTTTTTAATGAAATGATTTACCAAAGTCAACTCATCTTTCTGATTTCTTTGCTAGTTGCATTTTAGATTGAGTCTATTGTTTCACAGATCTACTGATTATTATAAGGTTTATGCTGGACTCCCACCATTCCACTTGGATAACTCCTGATTTTCAGTTCTTGTCCACCTTACTCTCTGCCAGAGTACCAACTCTGCAAATTGCATTTCCAGCCACACTACCAATTTTCTGCTCTTGGTTCTGAATTACTGGAAAGGAACAATTCCACGGCAAAGGAGGTTGGAACTGGATGATCATAAGGTCCTTTTCAACCTAAGCCATTCTGCAATTCTATGCAGTGATGAAAGGAATGAAAGGTCCCACCCACAGTGTGTCCTGGATCTGTCATATTATCATCCAGCTTTTGGCCCAGTGACTCCTGAATGAAAGTGTATTTGAATGGTCCAAACTGTGTAGCTGAAAATTTCTGCCAGATGACAAGGGAGCAAAAGAGGAAGGGTGAACTCTACAGCCAGCACTACTGCTCTTAAGTTTGTATCCAACTCTAGCCTCTAGCTTCTAGCTGACTTTCAGAACCTCCCATGGTTCAGATGACAGCTGGAATGTGGTACAGGTGAGAAGCAGCACACTAAGTCACTCTCTGCAAGGAGTCTGTGTTCATGCCACCAAAGCAGCTCTGTGCCTTGACCATCCCCCTTCTGATGCTGTTGTTGCCTTTTGTTATAACCCTAATCATTGCCCCAGTTCTGTTGACCAGACGTTGCTTGATTCTGATCTATCTAATGAAATATTGATTTCTGCACCTCTCCTCCTACAGCGTAGGGGAAAAAAACCTAACTAACTAACTAAATAAATAAAAGAAAAAAGTCAATACTCTCCTAGGGAGAAAAGCAGCTGCAGAGAGTAGGAGGTGATCTGCTATCCAAACAGACACCCAGGGATCTGACAATTTCAGTGAAGAGGAGGTGTTGGAAAGCAATCTAGGAAAGGACAGAGAAAAAGGAGCAGGTGCAAATCCATCCAGCCAATACAAAGAAAAAATAATCAAGATGTAAGACCCGACAGAGAGGAATAATCACAGACACCCTGCTGATCATACTGAAACATGGACACAGACCCATTAAGCCTAAAAATAAAATTATGTTTGAAAAAAAAAAGATATATATATATGAGAGAAAACAGTAAAATGTCATTCTATGTAGAAATGATGTAACTGTTGCCACTATTATACATTTTGTTCTACATGAAACACCAAAAGAATCATGATGACTGCTGCAGATCACCTTCCCTTCAAATTGTCCAACTGTGAGAAAAGCAGGTTCGTGCTACCCTGGATGGTGAACTGGATGAAGGGCAGAACTCAAAGTGTCACAGCAAATGGGGCTACATCTGACTGGCAGCTGGTCACCAATGGTGTTCCCTAAGGCTCTATTCTGAAGTTACATCTACTCAGCACTTTATCAGTGATCTGGGTGCAGGAGTTGAATGCATCCTTAGCAAGTTTGTTGATGACACTAAGCCGGAAGGTGCTGTTGGGTCCCTGTAGGGATGAGAAGATTTGCAGTGGGAACTGCAGATTGGAGCGTTGGGCAGTCAAAAACTACATGAAGTGCAAGGAAGCAAAACGCCGGGTGCTGCATCTGGGATGGAGAACTGACAGATATGGGCATAGATAAGGTGATGAGTGGCTGGAGAGCTCAGCAGGAAGGGACATGGGGGTAATGGTGACAGCAGGGACAACACAAGACAGCAGCATGGCTTAGCAATCAAGAGGGCAAACTGATGACCAGATGTGAGAACAGCAGTAAGAAGTACCAAAGGAGGTTCTGACTAGACATTCTTTACCATGAGGGGGGTCAGACACTGTAACAGGCTTCCTGGAGAAGTGATTGATGCCCATGCCTATCAGTGTTCAAAAGGCACTTGAGCAATGCCCTCATTAATGTGCTTTGACTTTTGATCAGTACTGAAGTAGCCTTTCAGTTGGATTAGGTAATCTTTGAAGGAAGATCCCTTCCAACTGAACTACTCTGTTATAACAACATGTGTGCAAGCATATCTGCCAAACAAGGGCACTTGGTACACCTAAAGCATCGCCAGTTAGAGATGTGAACCCTAAACTGGACCTGGATGGGAACCCTACTGGAGATGAAGAAAATCAGCTTCTCATAAGTAAGCATTTGCAAATTTCAGAACACCTTGGTATTATGTGGAACTCAGTGTCAACCACATAGTTTTCCCATTTTCTTTCTATCATGCAATAAAAGCCAGGAGCAGAGATAAAGCTTTAAAGACCTTTTAATCTGCACTTCTCTGGAGCAACCAATTTAAGGAAATGGCTACACAAACTCCCTTATCAGAGCTCCCTTGCAAAGTGCTGGCAGCAAAGACTTATTAAGATGTGCTGTATCACCATGGTTGGGTTTCTAGGAAAACATAACAGCACAAGTTAAAAAGCATCCAGGTGCATGATCATGAAGCTCACAGATGTGAACTGCCTTGACTGCACTACCAAGAAAAAGATAATTTCTGGAACTGAATTGTTAGAGCTCATTGAATATGCTACAGTAAGAAACCTTCTCATCAGAAGCAGATCAAGTCTGGATTCAGGGCAGTCTGCCTGAAGAAAGGCTGGTTACAGTCAGAGACACTGCCAGCCCCCAGGGCTGAGGAATAAGAGTAGTATGTCCTAACCCAGACCTCAGCCAAAGGCTCCGTTAGATATGAGATTTTCCTAAACTGAGCAACTTGATTGTTTGGAATAAAAAATTACGAATTTTCTTTTTGGAGGGAAATGTCAAAATGTCCAGGTTTATGTAAGAGGTAGATATAAGTAAACACATGAAATTGCATCTGAACACAAAGAACAGTTTCTTACTGTGGGAATGACTGAACACTGGCACAGGTTGCTCAAAGAAGCTGGGGACTGTCCAAATTCAGAGATCTTCGCAACCCTCCTGGACTCCATCATGGGCCACCTGCTCTAGATGCCCCTGCTT